ACTGTCAGAGCAATACAGCAGAGGAACCAGCTGCCTGGAGAGGTGGTGGGCTCTCCCACACTAGAGACATGCAAAAAAGAAACTGGACAGGCATCTGAGTGGGGTGGTGTAAGTTGGTGTCCTGCAACAGCCGGGGGTTGGACCTGATGGCCTTCATGGCCCCTTCCAACTCAGCCATTCTGTGATTCTTGCCCTTAGGCTCCAAAACACCAGTCCCTTTGCAGTGCAGATCTTTACTGGCACTTCGCAGCTACAAGGTAATGTAACTAAAAATGTTCTAGTAAGCTGAATGGTAAGCCCCTGCTCATGTCAAGAGTGTGGAACCCAAACTGAGCCCCCCCCCCCCCCCCCAATCCTCCCTTTTCAATAATGCTGCACAACTCCTCTTGGTTGAAGAGTCAGGGGCTTGAACGTCTCTCTCTCCTCCCTTTCTTGGACCCCTCCTGTCTCCTCCAAAACACTCTGCTCTCCTGGCTGGCAAGGGAGCCTGCGGGCAAGGACCTTGCAGGCCTTCACAGGCCTCTGCCTTGGAGTTTCCAAAACGCCCATCGCAGAGCCTTCAGGGTCTTCTTCTTCAGAATCTAGTCCATGATGATTCTGGGATGCCCTCCCCTGAAGAGAGGTGGTCTAGTTTACACACCACAATAAACCTCATTGAACATGGTGGGGGGGGCGGTCTTCTTGAGTAAGCATTGCACAAAAGGATCCCATGTTGCAGGCTTGGAGTGTGGCTGCAGCCCAGATCTTGAAAGACTGGAGATGACGGGTGCAGCTGTTGCTCTGATGGCCAGCAGGTGGCTCCCTTTCTTTCCCTAGCATGCTCTTTCTTTAGAGGGAAAGACCCTGCAAGCTCTGGTGATGGTGAGTGGACACTGTGGGTGAACGTGGGAGTCATCTGCATAATAGGACTGGGCCTCCTGCGTGAAAGGAGAACACAAGAAGAGTTCTGCTGGTGCAGATGAAGCCTGTCCACTCAGTGACCCACCAGCTGCTCCTGTGGAAAACCCACAAGGAGACACAATCGCAAAAGTGCTGTCTCACCCATGATCCCCAGCAACTGGTGTGCATAGGAATCCTGCCTTGGAAAGTGGAGGCAGCCTATAGCCGTTATGACTTGTGGCCATGGATAGTCCTTGATCTTGTCCTATTCCCCTTTAGAAGCCATTTGAAGGAAATCTAGTGTGATGTTTACTGAGTGCCGTCTCTTCCTCGCACATCACAGAGGTTGGTGACCCACTGGGGTGCCTTATTCACTGCAGTTTTCATTCTGAGCTTTATAGGAACTGTCCACGGTGCTGAATCCCCCAATAGTTTCACCATCATGGAGCACCATGGGAACCTACGGCAGCCCTTCAGCTTGGCTGGACCCCTTTGTTCTCTGTTTACCTCGTTCTGAAATGAACGCAATCACTAACGTTGGGGTGCCACTGGTAGTAGTGGTGTGGACCCACCTATCTGGAAACTGAGGTGCAGGACCATGGACAGCTCCTTCAAAGCCAGTCTAAAGCCCAGGTTGGCCACATGGCCCTGCTGACGTAGGAGCCAGCAGCCTTCACTGCCGATTCCATGCGTTCCTCCTCAGGAGGTGGGTAACAGCGCTTGCCATTGTATTGTCCCCGGGTTGAAATGAGGACAGGGTTTGGCCTGCTCCTCACCCGTGGCTCCATCGGGTTGCCTCTCAGTGCCATGCCTTTTTGTGTGAAAGCCTGCGAGACTGCGACAGCATTGTGCTTCGACACACATGCCCCACCTCGAGGTTGAGCAGCTCAAGTTTCGACGGAGTCTTCAGTTACACCATTCACAGAAGGCGATTGACTCGCGGGGGCATTGTGCAAAGGACTGGAGGGTCTGTTGCATAATGCAGCCGCGTCAGGTCAGCTCCACGCAGTCCTCATCGGTCTCACGGAACAAGGAGGGAATGGGAATTGGGCAGAAGGCAGGCCCTCCACCAGGGGCAGGGTGTCATTTCCTCACCCGTCACCCACGGGTCTTTGGACGTCTTTGCACATTCTCACATTGCCTCGGTTTCCCTACTGCCGCACCTTTGGTGGCCCATGGATGCTAATCCGCAAGAGACCCTGTCCTGTCTTCCCGCTGCCTTTTTGGTTTTCCGATCTGATTCCACCCAAAGCTTTTCAAGCGCGTCTCAAGGGAAAAAAGAAAAGCACACAGTGGCTAGAAGGATTTGGCATACAAGGAAGTCTGTCAGGACGCTGTGTTTTCGGTCCAACGAAGGATTCTGGATTCCCCCGGACGGTTGCATCTTTAATCCCCTTGCATCTTCATCGCAAGGCCTCATTGGCAGCTTGCCGTCCCTAACTAGGAAAGAATCCCGCTATTGAGGTCAAGTCCCTCCACACCTTTTGTCCTTTGCTTTTCAGAAGCAGAGGCTCCCGGTGCCCAGTTCACGCCGGGTGCTCTTGTAACTTCCTGATGAAGATGCAGCGACGACGTCGAGAACTGCAACTGCGCAGGCTGCCCTTGCCAAAGACTCAGGGAAAGGGGGCAGACAGGCTTGAAAACGTAGCGGTGGCCCTGTGTGTGTGTTGTTGTTGGTGCAAAGCAGCACCTGGACTGCAGGAGCCGCGGAGGGGGAGTGTGCGAACTCTCCCTGGAGCAGTGTGCATCCGCAGTGAAATCTCCCCGGTCACTTCCCCAGACGGCTCTCCTGATGCAACCAGCAACCTTGGGAATTTTTTTTAATCATGGTTAAGGGAACGGGAGGTATAATAGGGGGGAAATCCCCCATTTCCCATGCTCTGGATGTTGCTTCCCCTTTTATGTTGCACGTGTGTGTGTCTGTGTGCACGCGCACATGTGTATGAGAACTGCAGAGTCCTAGCAAGGAGGGGAAGCTGCGTCTCCTTTTTTAAAAAGTTCATATATGGAAGCAGTGTTTCATCTGCTGCCCTGGGAATTTGGGAGAGCTGGGTTCTAGTCCCCACTCGGACACAAAGCCCGCAGCCTCGCCTACCCTTCGGCCAACGCTACAAGTGTGTCAGGATCCCTCTGGGGGGGACAAGAGGAGCGCCAGCTGCTGCAGGGCTGAAGTTTCAGCCTGAAAGTGCAAGCGAAACCTGGCCTCAGCGAGCAGAATGGAAGCCAGATGAAGCTGGCGGGTGCAGGCTGGACCCTTGGATCTTGCCTTTGGAACCCTGAATCTCTGGGCTGGCCATCCCCCCCTGCACCCACAGGCACTGCATGCAATCAAAGGACAGAGGCCCAGAGGATCTTCCGGGATCTGATCGCCCTGGACGGCTGCTTTTTTTTTTTTGCTCATATGTCTCTTCTTCCTATCGCACTGCCCGGAATATTTCTGTCTGAGAGTTCGTTCTGAAATCAAATTCCCTGCACTCCGCTCCACGCACCTCTGCTTGCATGTCCTCGGAGACAGGGTCGTTGCAAGCTGTGTGCACAGAGAAACTGTAGAGCCCGGTGAATCGGCATGTGCCTTTTTCGTATCTGAGCCCTGGAGTGTGTCAGCAACTAGCACCAACCCCAGAAATCACCCAGCTAATCAGAGTCAGACTGGTGTGTTACTTCTCTGATCAAGATGGATGAGAAGAAGAAGTCCAAAAGAGTGGACATGGAGGGAGGGGGAGAGAGAGAGCTTAATGTGCTAAATGGAAACAGAAATGTGTATGATTGCGAAGGGGGGCAGCGATGGCTTGGCTTATTAAAGTCTTTAGAACATGGCTAAGTTTCTTTATGTGATTTGCCTCCTTAAAGAGCATCTGCCTCTTATTAATGCAGTTCGGAGAACACGACAATCTTCTCTTTGATCTATCTTTACCATGTTGCCAGCAAATGGAGGAATGCGAGGGTGCAGGGCAAAGGTTATTTCGATCACACCATCAGAACTGTGCCAGGACAGCTGGGGAGGGTGCCTGGGAAAGCAGAAGAGAAATAGAGGGAAGGAAGCTAATAGCCACGAATTGTTTCCCGGACAGGTTAGAAGGCACTGAGCTTTGGAGACCTTTTTGCCTTCTGTGGTCTTGGCAAGGTCAGCCATTCTTCAAATCTTTCATCAGCGCTTTTCTGCTGTTGCAAACTCAAGCATCCCTTTCAAAGTTTCTAGCTCTCATTGTCCATGGAAGGATTGCCACTTAAGCAGTGCCAATGAGAAGTATGTGGAATTCACTGCCATAGGAAGTGGTGATGGCCACCCATGTAGATGGCTTTAAAGAGGATCGGACAAATACATGGAGGAGGAGGCTATCCTGGCTACTAGTCTTGCTGGCTACGGGCAGCCTCCTTTGGCATGCCTGCATACCCCAGTTGCTGAGGAGCTGGGCAGGAGGAGGTCTTGCGCCCACCCTGCTTCAGCAATCCTGTGGGCAGCTGGTTTGCCACTGTGTGTACAGAGGGCTGGACTAGATGGGCCTCTGGCCTGATCCAGCAGAGCCTTTCTGTGTTCTTATGTTCATTGCTTGCCCCCACTTTCCAAAATGGCAAGATGGTAATTTTTGGAGTGTTAAACTGGGATGCTGGACAGCTGGGCTCTAGTCTCCACTTCGCTATGAAGCTCACGGAATAACTTTGGATCATTCACTGATTCTCAGCTGCACCCATCTTGCAGGGTTGTTGTGAGAAAAAATGCAGAGGACGAAGACCCTGTAAGCTGCCTTGATTTCCTTACTAGAACCAGAAGTGAACAGTATAAATACAACGATGATGACAACGGCAAACAGAAGAGCGCATAGATTTACACAGAACTTGCACAGGCTAATTTAATTCACATGCAACGGTTTATATAGAAATACAGCACAGATGTCACCATCAAAGGACCACTGTGACTGGGAGGCTGTGCAGGCCCAGGGGCTAAATATTTGGGGGTAGCTTCAAGGTGAGAACCGCTCTTGCTTCCATGGCTGTTTCAACTGGCCAGCCTTTCAAATACAGGACACTGGAAAAAGGAGCATGTCCTTTAACAGCCCTTCAAAGCGAGGACTGCCCTGTGTAAAGCAGGGCACCTGGCCTCCCGATTTCAGCTGAGTTACCTTTTAAATGGCACTGCTCCTGCAATGCGTTCAAGCTGTTCCATTTGGTTCCGTGATTGTCCCAATGCCGTTGGGTTTTGATCTTGCTCTTAGTATTGCTAGCTGTCCTGAGCGTCATCTTGGTGTTGGCCTCTATCTTCGTCATCATGGCCTGTCTCTTTGTCATTAGGTGAGCAAGGTTTGCCCGGCAAAGCAGGGTCAGCTGGGTGGGCCGACTCCGCTTTTCGGATTTTGGAAGAGAAGGACGTGGCCTCTTCAGGGTTCCCATTGCAAGAAGTCAATCTGTGCTTCTATTAAGAAGCCGCTTCAGTGTTGTTATTCTTGGGGGCGAGAGGTCAGTTGCTGCTGCATGGAAATAATATTTCAGTCTCTACAGGAAACAGACAAGGTACATGGGGTGTGTTCCTAATAAAGGATCTCATCAAGCAGAAGTTCATATGGAATTCAAATTAGGGTTACCATGATATAATATCATGTATTGTTGCTTTCACTTTTGTCCCAGGTCAGGACAAGAAAGGCTAGGACAAAATTATTGTCCTGATTGTCTTCACAAGAACCTTGGAAGTACATTATGCTTGAATAGGGTGATTGGTCCCCAGTTCCCCGGTGGTCTTCACGGCTGAAGGACCATTTGCCTCCGGGGCTCTGCCGTTGCCCAAATCTAATGCTCTGCTCACAAAGCCACATTCTCTTGTCAATCAAAAAGTCCAGTTTCACTGAAAATTTGGTCCAAAGGACCTCCATTTTCATAAATAAATGCCAGTTTGCCTGTTGAACTGTAGCAGCAGAAATGCAAAGGAGACGTTTATTGATCAGATATATGTCCTCCATTCAGCCATATGTGAATTTTTAACCCTGTCCTCAAGAGGACCTTCTTTCTCTTTGAAGTATGTACCAGGTGATCAAGATGTTCCAAGGTGTTTTGGATGGAGAAAGCAGTTTTCCTTAATATTTCAAAGCATTGTATTGTAACAATGCTGTTCTTTTTTGGGGGAAAGGGGGGAGAGGAACAATTAGTCTTTTCATGTATTTTTTTCAGGAGGGGGATATGGGTAAAATGATGTGAAATTATAAAAAGAAGCTTTTTAATGCATGGATGTGAAAATTGGACTCCCTTGGTTTGTATGGCAGGGGATTTTTATTAAGGCATCCAGAATCCTTTGGCTGGTCGTGACAAATGGCTCATTCCTCTGTGCCAATCATGCTTATCCTCTGAGAATGCTTGCACTTTTTTGGTGACGTGTACAGTGCTTGGGAGGGCCTGACAGGTTGGTTGTATCCTCAGGGATGCTGCCTGATGATCTACATCACTTTTTCAGCATCAGGGGTCTTTGCTGGCCATGTGTCCTACTTTATACAGGACAATTCTCCTTTGGGCAGCTGTCCCTGCTAGTCCAAGTCTTGGTCTAAAGATAAAGATGCCTAAGAAGTGAGAACAGGCAAACCATGCATCTTTAGATATACATGGACGTCCACAATTCTTATGCAAATTCATATTTTATTTGTGTTGCATGTCCTCTAAAGGGCAACTCTAGGTTGAATGCATGTCAACATCTGGACCATCAAATTATGACTGCTATTTATAACTTCAGAAAGACTTCAGGAGGTTGCAAATGATTTTAGGTAAGATTTATTTTGGTCCGTATTTCAAAGTGAACAAACCTGCTTTGAACCTTCCAGACTAATGTGTGGATTAGAAAGCAGTCATCCCGTATGTTTCACAGTTTTCCAGATTTTCTGGTGGAGCTCTCAGCTCACAAAAAGATATCAACATGTCGATGTTCAAATGCATATTTTAGGGTAAGATCAGTTCAAAATCTATATTTAGAGAAATAACATTTCAGAAGGTTCCATGAACTAGAAGAAAGGCAAACAATAAAATGTTTCAGTCTCTTATGACAGCATTACCTGGCTGGGGCTGCCTTCCTGGACTTACCACCCTCCAAAAGTTTTGGACTACAGCACCCAGCATCCTGACCATTAGGCATGTTGACTCACAGGAGATGGTCATGGAGCAGAATCCTGCATTAGAGGGCACAGAGGTGTTTAAATCAGGAAGAGACTTCAAGCGGATTCATTTCGATGCGCTTGGATCACAAAGCATGGGTGCCTCCTTTAATTAATTGATGTATTTATTCAACTTCTATTCTTCATTAATTAGTCCAAAGGACTCTCTAATCTTTTATCTAGATCAGATGGGTGGGAAAGAACTCCTGCGGGCTTGATGACTCTCCGGTCCCTTTCCACAGTCTTTTCAACGCACTTGACATTTGGCAGGACCGGGATGGAGAAGCTTCTCGATGTTTGTATAAAGGGCTTGGCCAGAATTTTTCATATTGTCCTTTCCTGTGAGCCGCATTCAGTTGGCACGAAGTCCCACTTCCTCCTTAAGGGCAGTGTGCCCCTTAACCTTGCCAGTGTCCCTCCAGAGGTTCAAAGGGTGGATCTACCCCGAGTCCCTTCCTCTGATGGAGCAATGAAGCATCTGTCATCCCAGGTCCCATCTGGCTGAGGGTTAACTCTGTCATGGCAAGCAAATGCTATGATGGATCCCCAGATTCTATGGTTTTTGGCCAGTCCAGGAAACTGGATTGGAACGAACTTGGTTTTGAGCTCAGCTTCCTCCACCACACCTTCTCTAAACCCAGCACCCTCCAAATATGATGGGAGTTGTAGTTCATAGAGCAACCATTTGAGGGAACTGCTTCAGTGCAAAGCTTTCCTTTTCAGCGCTGGTAAACTAAGTGAATATTCCAAAATGGATGACCCTTGACAAACCTAAACACGTGTTCTTTCAAGCCTTCGAGATTTGTGTGTGTTTAAAAATAGAAAAAGAACCCATTGCACCCATGACACACAAACCAGCATAAAAAGATTTCGCTCCCTGTTTGCTGGAGGTTTGCATTCAGACTCTCGACTTTCAAAAGAGACTGAGATGATCCGTAGCCAGACGGCCCTTTGCAGGTGCCCTTCTTTGAGGATTTTCTTTGAGGTTCAAAAGAACTCCATGAAACTATTAGCATGTAAGGTCTGGAACATGTTATCCCATCCATGTTTCATTATAGAGGAAGAAAACTGTGAAAGGCAGGAGGCTGTCATTTGGGGATAATTTTATTGGGCAGATTTTGACAGTGTTCTAGAAGGACTAGACTGTACATCTACTTATATATAAATTGCACAACAGAATATGTGGTGAAGGAGACCAGTTACTCCAAGAGATGGGATGAAGAGCTGCACTTTGTTAGAAAAAAACATACAAATATTAGTATGGAATCATGAAACAATTACAACGATGGTGGGATAGACATGTGATGGAATTTTTTGGCTTGAAACTTTGCAAACCCTGACAAGACCAAGATAGATGAATCTATCTATCATTCATGAGATAAGACTTTTTAGACTGCTGGAGAACTCCCTGCCATCGGAAATTTAGCTCTCTTCACCTGATCTGGTTTGACATGGATTTTAATGTCTCTTTACATAAACTTTTACTGATTATTTTGAAACTAGTTCAGGATTTTAAAATGAACATTTTTGAATTGCTGCTGCTTGTTATTTCTGTTTGCTTGAGATGGTGTGTGTGTGTGTGTGTCCTGATGATGTTTTGTTAATTATGGTTGCCTAGTGAAGTGCAGTGCAAAAGGTGAAGGGGATGGCAGAGGTTGGATGGCTGAATGGAGTCATTGGGGGGGGGGGTTGGGTGGACTCCAGGGGATGGTGGAGGACAGGAAGGCCTGCAGGAATGTTGTCCATGCAGTCATGATGGGTTGGGCATGACTTTGTGACTAAACAATGTGTGAACTGCCTTGAGAGCATTGCATGACTCTTAAATGAAGCTTGCAACTACTATCAACAAATCAGTGCACAGGTGGAAATAGGGGAAGCAACTGAGCAGGACAATACAAAGTATGACCTTTTTAGAGCATTTGCTGTGCAGAAGCTCCTAAATGACATCTCCCATCGGATCCAGGAGCATTGCAGAAGACTTGCTCCTTGTGGAGGAGAAAACCTCTAGAACTGGTTGAGCTGGATCCACGCAACCGCCTGGAGTTTTGGACTCTTCTTGGCTATGGAACTGTCACGATGGATACCTGAACTTCAGAGTTGACCGTTACTGGATATGATGCTCATCCAGACCTGGATGGTGGGTGTCCAAGGGCTGCTTGAGCACCCTGGTGGCTTTGCACCTGCTGGGTAGAATGCTGGAAGGTGAGAAGGTGCAGCTCTGTGTCAGCCCGCCTTGATGGGCAAGGCAGTGATGCTGACTGCAGAGGATGGCATCGTGTCCAGTCACTGGGAAGGCACCAGCTTGGGAGAGGACGGAAAGAGACCGTACCTTCAGGTGGAGCCCTGGCAGCCCTTCCAAGAGAGTGCCATTTTCCGTCTGGTCCCCTTAACAAGGAGAGAGATAAAATAAACAATATCCAGGAGCAGGTCAAGGTTTACCCTTCATTTCTTTATTGCTTCTAACTTTGAAACTGTTGAATACTTTGAGTTGCACTGGATGGGAATTGGAGCACCAAACAATGGTGGTCCTGAAAAGAGTAGAAAAGGTGGCCCTCAAGGAGCAAAACAAATCTTTTCCCCCATTGTTTTCTGCAGTCAGTCCAAGTGCCAAATGGTTTCTCTTTGCTTTCCTGCATTAGCCTTTGGTTTGGGAGGTGGGGGCGAGAAAGAAAAAGATAGGGAGAAGCAGGAAGGGTGAGGGCCAGGAAAATCTGAGGCAGTTTTCTTCTTGTTACACAACAAAGCTAAAAAAGAGGAGAACAGCAGACAGGCATTCCAGTTCTTAGCCACGTCTGATCACCCACTTTTTCAAGTATTAACTGAGAAAGATGTATTCGTTTATTTAATTAGCAAATATTAATGTCCCACTCCTCTGTCCTTTGCAGGATGGGAGAGTCAGCATGACAATAAGGCGGGGCAAGTGATGAAACTACCAAACACAATGCAAAAGAACAGCAGGATAGAGCAAGCCAAGGAAGCTGCGGAGGACGCCTCCCCCAAAGTCAAAGCGCGGTCCCTTTGAGCTGCAGGGGGATCCCTGCACTGGCTCTCCGGCAGGGATTCCTCCTCCAGACTTCGTGGGTTCCTCAGAAGCAGGGGTGGCCTCCACGTCTCGCCCACTGGAGGCATCCCCACCCA